GTTCACGTGGTTTCTGCGTACTCCAGCTGTTCTATAGAAGGTCCTTGATTGTCTCTGACCTGCAGTCTTTCGTCTTCATGCTGTTTCTTACTCGTTGGCATTCCTTATTGCTTAGAGGTGTTAAACTGGTTTTGAGTTTGGGAGCTATTAGAACATGTGTATGTACTGTATGTTGAAGTCATCTGACATAAATGGACAGTATTTCACTAATTTTAAAGCTTCTACAAGAGGCTTTTTAGGTCAGCTACCACTGTCTTTTTGTCTTCTATTTGTTTTTTATTCTTGTTGGCTCAACCATTATTCTATGTGATTTTATCCTATAGAACAGGTCCTGTAGCTTCACCTGTTGATGACTGGTCTAACCCCTGAGGCAAAGCTGAGGTTATTACCAGGTTCATTATCTGCACTCGTAAATGAAAAATGTAATAACATGTTACTTTATTGGTTGGCTATTATACTACTGGTCTAATATTAAAAACAGCTTTTGACATTGTAATAACTGCAGCCAATAATGTAATAGTACATAAATATGACTGCATTGATTTAAATTAAAACGTTGTTTTGCAGATGTCTCAACAAGAACAGCTATAGTAGACGACATTATCTTCATTTTCAGGCATCAAGGATATGTACTAGTATTTAATAGCCAGCCAGTGATGCAATAAGATATTTTATTACATACATAAGTTATTACACCCCCTCCCTAAAGACTAATAATGATCCAACAATTTTAGATTTAGAATTAAAATGTTTTTTATCCATATTGTGCCTTTTCTCACATAGAAGATAATAAATGTGCAATTATTACATTGATGTGGTTTTCTTCAGATCATGAGTTACATTATTTGTTAAATTTAGGAAATCAAATAAACACATTATCTGAAAGAGCAGACTGTTCCTGACATCACATCCTGCCACCTTGGGAAATCAAGCTCTTGACATGAAAAGGTTCTGGCGCAAAACTGATGAGACTTAAAATCGATTCAACCTTCCTGATGGCTAATCTCATTAAAAGTAATAAAAACTGATTTTGTGACAATTTTGTCTTGAGATAAACTTTTTATTTCAAAATAAATWAATACTGTATATAACTTTTTATTTTGAGAGATGAAGATTATTATGTTATTATCTCAAGCTAATGCCATAATGACCTAACCAAACAGGTATCATACCACAAAACAAGAAACAGAAAAGGTCATAATATGTATTTTTTTAAGCGGAACACTTGCTAGCTCACTTAGCTCATAAAATGAGCTTTTTAAGCATTTTTTTCAATTAACATTTTCTTCTGCAGCTTTACAAAAAGCCATACAGAAATATTCTAACACTTGTGGCTTGACTGGAAATAATGAGCCATGACAGAGACAAAAACAGCAAATAAAACAGAAGTGGCATGATTTTTATGTTTTTGTTAATCTGAGGCCACAGTGGGAAACCTGCTTGAAGTCATGGTCTTATTGTCACAATCTGTGTTTTTATGTTAGCTCCTTGTCAGTGCGCTGTCATGTTTATGCCAGCATGTTCTATTTCGTATAGGCTTCGCCCTTTAAGGCTATCACTAGTAGGGTTTATCCCTCGCACGCAGCTCAACACTGAAAACTGGTAGATCACACCCACCCACTGGGTGGGCCTCCCCCGGTCTGTATAAATAGCAGTCAGACCGGACAATCGGCTACCTTTTTTTCTTCAGCGATAGCAGAAGCAACATTGAGAAGATGTCCAACATTATTCATTTGTGCCCGTCGTGCCAGACGGGTTACATCTTGTCCTTCGACAGCCACGAGACCTGCGAGAGATGCCTGGGACCTCAGCCCACCTGTCGTCCCTGTGCTCTCCTCCCGCTGGAGGAGAGGAGGCGAAGAGTAGCCTTTTTCAAGGTCAGTATTGGGCCGCAGGGTGAGTCGACTGAGTCCGGTACCCACTCGCAGGTGGAAGCTAGCTGCGCTCAGCAAGCTAGCAGCGCTGAGCGGGAAACGTATGATCCCGCCAGCAAAGAAGACACCGGGGGAAACGAAGAGGGTGAAGACGACCCCGTTGACGCCATCATGGAGGAAAGGCGGCTGAGCGGCTGCTCAGTCATCCCCGGGCTTCCTGTGTCCGCCACCACCCCGCTCCCAGCAGTGGACGCGCTCCTCCTCGAGYTGCCTAGCTTGATTCAGGAGGCTGCTAGCGCTAAGGGACTTCCGGTCCCACAGCCTTCCCCGTCCCGCTCGAATGACCTGGCGGGAAGGTTTGKTTCTGCCTCAAGTCGCCGCCCGGACCCCATCTGGCCTCAGTTTCCYGCCGTGATGGACTTCCTGGCTGAGGCAGCGGCTGAGCCTGCCAAGCTGAGGGCACCAGTCTCCACCTACGCGCCCATCACCAGGGTGGAGGGGTTTACAGAGTGGAGTTTTCCCCCTGTCCCCCCTCTGGATCCAGATCTTGCTGAGGTGTTTGGGGCCAAGACGTCTGGGCTGGACCAGCGTCCGGTGCCTCCTTCCAAACACGATCAGCTAATCACAAGGTTTTCTGATCGGGCCCACTAGTGCACCTATCAGACCTCCGCAGCAACAAATAATGCTGCTTTGCTGGCTTACGGCATTTCCAAGCGGCTGGAGGAAACTGCCCTGCCAGAGGATCTAAAGAGCTCTCTCTGTAAGGCGGYTGATGCAATCCTGAACCTGTGCGCCACTTCAGTGATCTGCTCCTCGAGGATCGCTGCCTGGGCCACCCAGATCCAGAGAACCACCTGGCTCYGCCTGGCTCCATCCATGATGGAGAAGCTCCAGAAGGATCTGCTTAATGGTCCCATCACAGCTGACGGGCTGTTTGGCGCCAASTCCCACTCTCTCCTGAAGAAGTCTCAGCAGACTCAGGAGGTTTTTGAGTCTTTTCGYCACCTGGTGYGGCCTCAACCTGAACCCCRCACCTCGGGTCGCTGGAGGGACTGACGTGGCCGCCGTCAGCAGGAAAGACGCTYCACAGCGACTGCAGCCTCTGTCASATCAGCTGATYTCACAGCAGCTCCATCACACACAGTCCACACACACAGCGAACCGTCCGCCTCTAAACAACTTGTTAYGAGGTGCCGCAGCTCCACATTTTCTGCACAGAGTTTTTCTGTCTCAGCAGATCAGTCCGCCTCTTCTGAGCAGTCTGATTTCAGCAGAGTTTTTTCTGAGCAGTCAGAACATCTGGATGTTCCTGCTGCCTCCTCACACACACCTCACAGAGTGAGTGCGTCATCTCTCCAGCAGGGGCCTGCACCCAAGCAGCGTCAGAGCGCATCGGCTTGTTCCCGTTCTGATGGGAGCGCGCAGCCTAAGCGCCGCATGAAGGATTACAAGCGGCGTCAGAGCGTGCTCCAAGTGCTGCCTGAAGTGTGACAGCCAGCTCTTTCTGTCCGAGCCCCCCATGGGTTCCCTCCGGAGCAGCTGCGAGGCAGGGGACGGCGGYAGGGGCTGTAACGTGGCTAGRGTCCATGMGGACCACAGCGCCACACATAMATGCACACCCACTTTCAGAGCGTTACTCAGAGTGGCGGCGCGCAYGTTCCCTCGACAAGTGGCTGGATCAGCTGATSAGCAGGGGTTACACGCARGTYGCCCGCCGCCGTTCAGAGGGATCGTGGAGACGGTTCTGTCATGTTCGGAGCAGAGCRCTGCTCTCCGCTCAGAACTTCAGGAGCTGAGGTTAAAAAGGTCATTTCCATGKTTCCCCAMSGRRRRGRAAAMWMSGGGKT